GAAGTGAAATGAACAGGAGTATGAAGCTCTGAAGAGATGCACAGGAGCATACCTTCCCTTTTACTCTGCCTCCTGAAATAACGTGCAAGTGGGCCCTGAAGGCACACGGGGATGTGGGCAACTGCCGCTCAACCACAATCAACGTGGGGAGCCTTGTGCGTAAGAGGCACAGTAAAAGGGGAGCTGCAAGAACAATGAAAGGGGTACCCCAAGGACAACCAAAAAACTGTTTGATTATAAAATTGCTTGAATATGTTGGACATCTCAAATGCTCTTGTTGTCTGAAATAGGACAGACTGCTTTGATTCTGAATCTATACACCTGGGTGGATTTGGGGCTGTTGTGGGGAAAATCTAAAACGCGCACACACACACACACACACACACACGCTATTTGGTCATCCAAATGTTGTTGAATTGAATTTGATGTTTTGGCAACCTTTCTCTACTAGGTGTGGCACCTACAGCAACAGGTGCAGAGGTGCTACTGCGATTTCAGAACAAGATGGGACTGATCTGGAATGGTGCACAACGGCGGTTTGGGTTTTTCGACAGAAACCAAACACTGTACAGCATCTGTAACTTCGAGGCGTTGATGTGGCACCATGTGCTGGTGTCTGTGAATGCCAGTGGTCATGGGGCTCTGTACGTGGATGGAGAGGTGCAGGCAAGTTTTGTGACAGAATGGTATCCCAGTCGATGCGGGCCGGCTGCACCACCATCTCCTCCTCCTTCTCCAGACTCTCCAGAGGACTGGGATGTTTGGGGTCGAAGACGGCATTTGTTGACTGCCAAGAACCTGTCTCACGATGACAACACAAACAAGAGCTTGAAGCATGTGCACCAAGGACAAATGAGACAACTTGCAGTAGTTGGGTTGAAGCAAGGACATGGCAACAACACGTGGAATGTCAGTGCAAATCAACGACTGCTGCTACCCGAGCTTCAGCCTACCAACCTCCGCGCTCCAGCAGACCTCCCTAATCTGGAGGAGGGATTCTCTCAGGGGGGGTGGATACCGACTGTTCAGTGCTGTAATTTCAGGATCGGTTGGCAATTGAATGAACCGCCGTCTGCGCTCCTCAAGTCCTATCGGGGGTTAGTAGATGAGTTGGCGGTCTGGAACCGGGATCTGGACAAAGCGACGGTCAAGGCAGTCCTATTTCACATGCCTAACGGGATTCCAGTCCGGAGGTTATCTGCACCCAGCGGTAAAGCTCTAGACTGGACCATCGGACAAGTGCTGTACCTTCGGTGGAACAACCCATGTCGGCTCAACGGTGGGGCTACTTTTGACACAGCTGGGTACAATGCCGGTTGGAGAATAGTCGGAGCAGGAAGGGATAAGAGGTCGTTTGCAGCAGTGGAGGTCCTTGACCAAGATGATGACACGGCAGTCGTAGAGGATTTCCCCGGATCGGCACAGTATGTTTACACAGGAGTGCCATGGGCCGCTGCCTTTGTGGACAGTGTTGAGCCAACTATTTTGCCATTGGATGGTGGGGATGAGATCACCATCCGAGGGGTGGGATTTGCAAGGAGTCCCTTTTTAAAATGCGGGATCCGAAATCCCCCTGCCGAAGGGGTCCGTTCGAGGGGATACTACTCCACCCCTACGTCATGGAACTACCACCCTGGAGAGAACGAACCTTCTGCACGTCGGGGCCTATGGCATACTGCGGGACGAAAGGGACTGGTCTATGAGCATGAAAGTGGGATACGACATGGGATCCAAAGGTACGGTTGGCCATATGCATGGGGGGTGACAAAGGTGGACATGGAACCTGCTGAAATACCGCTCTCGAACAGTCAGGTGGTGAGTATTCAGCAGAGGATGTACCAGCAAAACCTGCAATGGGATGGAAAGGCCACATATGTGTATGGGTCATTCACCGAAGTCAGATGCAATGCTCCCCAAGCACCATATCCGTCAGACAGACTGCGTGTGGGGGTGATCAACGATGGAGGCCTGATTTTCTCTCCATCAATAGCAAATATTAGCTACATGGAAATGGCTCTCAAGTTTTCAGGGGGTCAAGGTGCTGTGTCGGTGGACCTCACCCGTGTCTTCCGTGAGAGTGCACAAGCCGGTCCTGGGGTTGTGACAATCGGGATCTGGACTCTTCCCAGCATGGTTCCAGAGTGGTGGTCCAATCCAAATAGTCGAAACCGGTTCCAGCAAACGGTGTTTGAGATAGTCATTGTATCAGCTACCAGGACTGTGACAAAAAAGGTAATGTATACGGGCCGATCATTCCTCTTCTTCGACGGCGAGAACTATGCAGAGAGCAGCCCAGCGCTTCCCAACCAATGGCATTATGTGGCCCTCGCCTCTGCGGGCAATGTGTCATCGAGCTCCCCTGCTGGTCCAGGTTCTCGGAGCAACGCGAGCGGTTCTGTGAATGGGACATTCTTTATGGATGGCGTCTCTTTGGCTGCCCCCAATGCAACCGATGATATGAAAGCGAGGTGGAATGAGTCTGTAGTATTGCGAATTGGCCAGGGGTTCCAGGGGCTGTTGGACGAGGTCCGAGTGTGGAAGTCGAATCTGGATGAAAGAACCTTGATGGATGGGATGATTCGACGGCTGGACCAGAATGACATGATCAGAGATAACCTCACTGCTTACTTTCGATTCAACAATAACATGAGCGATTGGACAGGCCATGGCTTTGTTGGCAAGCCTCAATGGGCCAGTCTGACTGTGTACAGGCTTGTGAGTGCACCGTGGGAACCATCAATCGTCTGGAGCATCAATGGCACAGAGGTGACTCAGGGATTAGGTGGCACCAAAGCCGCGCTGGACAAACAGGGGGCATGGACGGTTGAAGAGGAGGAGGGTGGTCTAGGTGAGAGTATATATCGGGCTCCTATGAGGGGCGGAGAGATACTTGACATCACAGGCTGGAACTTCGCTCCTAGCCCCTGGGCTGCCTGCGTTTGGGGAATAGAGCAACGTTCTCAGGCACAGGATGGCCGAGAAGACCCTTCACTCATTCAAGTCGCTCTGAATGACTCAACGCCATCAAATGACACAATGACGACCATGGGTGTGGAACAGACCTGGTATGGCAGGTGCCCTGCAACTGCCATCGGAAATCAGGGCCAGCGTGAATATGCGATCAAAGGGGTGTCTACACCTGGCCTGAGGTTCATTCCAGGTCAAGGACGGAAATTCTTGTCCACTCTCTTGACCACCGATTCAGCCCAGTGGTATTCCAGCACCAATGTCCTCTGCACAACTCCGAAAGATGCTTCACCTGGTCTCTATCAATTCGGCATCGGTGCCAAGAACCTGCCCGTTGCAGAGCCACCACTGTTTGAGTTCATGGAATCTTCACTCCACTGTGATGGAGGAGGGGTGTATCTGATGGCTGATGGGGTAAGCCGAGCCATATCAACTCGTATTCCTGGTAGCAGTGGAGCAACTGGATATTCATTTGGTGCATGGGTGTTCCCGTACAAAAGGACATCAAAGGGGGAAGTTGTGCGAGGAGGAGGAGGAGGAGAAGGGGCGGAAATGGAAGGTGAGCAGAGGCAGACGGAGGGCCAGAAGGAGGAGGATGGATCTTCAACGAACTGGGCTCATCCTGAAACAACAGTGCTTTCGTTTGAGGCGCCTGGAAGAGAAGTCCGTGTGGGGATGGCAGGAGGGGGCCGATCACGGAGGAATGTGGGACAGATTATCTATGATGGAACGCACTTCCTCTACTATGATGACTGCATAAGAGAAGTACTGGAGGTTGAGTCAGTGGAGACAGGCATGGAGAGCAGGTTTGAGGGTGGGAAGAGCCCCATCGAGGGGACGATGCCTATGATGAAGAGAGAGCCAAAAGCATCGCTGCCATTTGCAGGACGGCAAGCCAGGAGAGCGGAAGATGTTGCTGTAGATGAGAGTCCCCGCAAAGAGCTAACTCGCAGTACAGGAGAACTGAGAAAATTGTTAGGGGGTCCCGGGTACCGATGGGAGGTGGTGTCACCCCCAGAGCAGTGGCATTTTGTTTTCATTACCATTTACGAGACAGGGGAAGGATTCCTCTACGTGGACGGAGAAGTAGTTCAACTCTTTTCCACAATGTGTCGTCCAGATGAAGACGGGTTCTTCAGCATCTGCCAGGACTATCGTTATGGGCAGAAGGATCACCCTAGCGAGTTTTTCGCCGGGCTTGTAGATGAAGTGCGAATCTTCAATAAGCCAATGAATGTGTCTGAAGTAGAGGAGACAATGCTGTCCGTTCTGGATGGCAACACCAGTGGCCTTGTTGGGTACTACAGGTTTACAGAGCTTTTAGAGGAGGAGAGGAGATTAGTCAAAGAAGTCATACTGCTCAAGGAAGAGGACCTGCTGCAAGCTGCACAAAATGAGCCTCTGGAACCCACCTTTATTGAAGATCTCTCTCCAACCCGGGCACATGCACAGCTTATCATGGGCCCGTCCCTGTTGAATGGGACAGCGAGGGACCACAGGGGCAATCAAATCGAGAAGCTGAACGGGACTGAAGGAGATCATGATGCATTGTCTCGCTTTCTGTTCGTGAACACAACTGCTCCGTGGCAGCACTCGCTCATTCTTGGTGTGGATATAAACCAAGGAGGAATGAGAGGTGGTGACGAAGTGGAGTTCTACGGAGGACCATTTGCACCATGTGTCATCCTGGGCGCTCGCTTCCCAGGAAAGCGCAAAGCAAGGGCACATACTCTGCCACCAGCAGCTGGGGGCTACTCCTTCCGGGTGAGCTCACCGCCCACAACAGCTATATGTGGAGAGTCTGGCAACCTCACCGCCACCTACAGAGGCAGCCCATCAGGAACCGAGGTCGACATGCACTGGACATACGCCCCAGGCATGGTTGACCTTCATGAAGGACTGGTCTCCTACTACCCCATGGATGTGATTGGCAATGTAACGGCGGAGACGGCCTCATGGCAATCTTCAGAAGACGAGGTAGCAGGGAATGGTGGTAAAGGCAGTGAGCGACAGTTGGATGAGTCGGGCGGCCTTGAAGGGAAGCATCCTACGCTAGTGCACGTCGAGGTTGTTGATTGGATTGGAGGAAGGGGGGGAACATTCACTTTTGTGGAAGACTATGCTGGTCAGGGGGAGCAACCTGGAGGGCCATCAAGGTGTGGCGTTCGGGGCAACCGGGATGGGATAGCAGCAGGGTCTCTTGAGGTAGATCCATCAATGAAGGGGTGTGCCCTTTTCCTTCCATGTCCCCTAAATTACCTTGTGTCGTCAGATGACTCCAAATCTGACTCAGCGATTCGTGACCTCAAAGCGACGGCCATCATATCTGTGTTTCTGCACGAGAACCAGGCGAATGCCCTGCCTCCTGAATTGAGCTGTCTGCTGGGCACATGGAAGTATGTGTCCTTGACGTTGTCGCTAGATGATGGGCAAATGGCACTCTTCATGGGATATGAGATGGTCAAAGATAGAGATACTGTTATCGCCAATTTTTTCATCAGCCACCTGAAGCACTTCCTAATGACTGGTATCTTTTTCGACGGCATTCATATAACTGTCGATGACTTATGGGTGTATCAAAGGGTCCTGGAGGACTGTGAGATAGCAGCACATTACTTCACGTCAAATTTCGCCATTGATTTCCCAAGGGGAAGGCATCCGAGACGGGCAACGGGATTGGAGCCCCGGTTAAGCAAGCACTCCAGGGCAGAGGGCACGAACGTGCCTGAGCCAGATTTAAACGAGGGAGCTTCCAATTTCTATCATTACCGCAAGAGGCCTAGTGCTCCTAAGATAGAAAAGGAGCATGTGTATGGTGTCTGGCCCATCCCCTTCCAGGAAGGTCTGGCCTTCAGCATGACAGTTGAAGCTTGGGTCTACCCTTACACAACGCGCGGGTTTCAGACCGTAATTGCTCTTCCCCTTCACCCATCCAGCGATCCCTACGTGGATGGGCTGAACGCAGTTGGCCTCTCTCTCCAGGACGATAACGTGGCATTCTCTGTGTATGTTGGCTGCCAGCTCGACACGTGCGATGCCTTCCGTGAGGTTGTGGCACGACAATGCCGGGTCGCTTCGCACCGCTGGTCACACGTGGCCGCCTCATACAACGGCAGGGACAGTTTTGTGTATGTTGATGGAGTTCTTGTCCAGAAGGAGTCATGGCCTGAACTTATGCCAATCACTGCCCTTGGTAATCTTTGGTACCTGGGAACAGAAAACGGCAGGATTGCCCCCACCGATGGGAGACTCTACGCCTTCAAGGGTCTGATTAAGAGTGCTGCACTGTATGCGGGGAGCTCTGGCCCATATGGGAGGATCATTCCACAAGCACTTGAAGGTCTATCTGATGGCAAGGGATTCCTCCTGCCATATGAAGTGCGAAGGCACGTGGAGTGCCCATTCCGTGGAGCAGATGCCTTTGGGGCACGCCCACCGACTGGTGAGCGAGGGAGGACTCTGAGTGCTTCCTGGAACTTGAATGTGCCCTTCCGTGAGCATGCACCCCCATGGAAGTCGTCACAATTGAAGATCAATGGCTCCTCTGAGGTCCTTCCGTTGGGACCGAGCGTGGCCTCTGAATCTTCGCCCATCTTAGCCATCAGGAAAAGGATGTGGGTCAATGCATCCTACGATGGAATTTCCTATGGGCCACAAACTCGAGTGTATGGCACTGCTGTTTTTGAGATTGTGTCGGGCTCCACTGGAGTCTTTACAATGGAAACTTACGATATGTGCGGCAAGAAGCGACTTCTTGGCGGGGATGAATTTGCAGTCACCTTGACGCTCATTCGTGAAGGAGAACAAGAAAGTCGTGATGCTCTGGGTACACCAGAGGATTTACCCCCTGAAGCGGCCCCACTCCCTTCAGAAGATGGTTCAGCCACAGACACGGAAGGTGGCCCCGCCCCATCCCCATTTCCAGATGCCTTGCTCATGGCACCAACACCAGCCACTTCGCCTCCCCTCATTGTGACAGGTCATGTGAAGGACTGGAACGATGGCACATACTGTGTCACGTACGATGCTCCCATTTGTGGCCGCTACAAGCTGGCAATATCCCTGAACGGATCGCTTTTGCACCATCTACTCACGGAGACGGTTGTGCGACCGGGACTAACTTCCGAGAACAATTCGTACGTGGTAACTCCCAATGCCACAACTGCCGGTTGCGCCGGCATAGAAAATCGGCTCATTATCCAAGCGGTGGATGACTATGGATGCAAAAGGATTACAGGAGGAGACAAATGGTATGTCAAATTGGCTGGGCCGCGTACCGCTTCGGTAATGGTCACTGACCTGCAGAACGGGCAGTACCAGCTATTGTATCTGCCACAAGTTCCTGGAAGATATCGGATATCAATTTGGTTGGTGAAGGATGAGGGAGTTCTATCACCCTTGGCAGGGTGGTCAGATGTCTGCATGGATGTCTGCAGAGGGTACTCTCTGTGGTTCAACGGCTACTCCAGCATCGAGATTCAGGAACTCCCCGAAGACGATGAAATTTTTTTTCCTCAACCAATCAGCGACCAAAACGCAAGCACCACAGTGGCCATGGACCTGACATCTACAAGTAGCTCATCCCCTAATGGCTCCTCTTCATTGTACAACAGCACATTACCACGCACAGCGCGGTACGGATTGCTCGACCTGACAGACCCAGGATGGGGTTTCACACTATTGGCATGGATCCTCCCGGAAAGGTTCCCTACGAAAAAAGAATTCTATGACGGACGGTGGATAATTGCAAAAGGGAGCCATGAGCAGATGAAGGCAGGGGGAGGCTATTCGGTGCGTGGGTATGAGTGGCGGCTGTCCAACGACTTGACACAGATGACCGCATCTATATATGTGGGGAGGGGTTTCTACCGCACTGTAACGGGTGAGCTTAAGCAGGTCCTGGCACCAGACTCGAACCCCAACCCTGCCCCTGGGAGAGAACGGTATGGATGGACCCATGTTGCAGCTGTGTATGGCTCCAGTGGGAGATGGTTCGCTCTCATGCAGGACGGCATTGTGATTGCAAATGCAACTTGGAACGAGTCAATGTATGGTCTACCCAATGCTTACTATCATCCGTTGGGAATCGGGTTCAGGTTCAAGGGGCGGATCGATGAGCCCTCCGTATGGGGCGTGGAGCTCAAGCGGCCAGAAATACGTCGACTGATGCATTGCCCAGCGTGGAGCAACAAATGGGCGGCAACACGCCTGGCATATTACTCTATGTTCTCAGAGGGCAAAGGGATGCGAGTGAAGGGGTGGGGCAATCCCAACTGCTGGGTCAACCCGCCACGGGAAGTGGTAACCAACCTTTACGATGAGCGCTTGGGATGCTTGGAGGGAGTGCTGAACCCACTGGGGAGTGACCCTGCTTACTACCCTCTGTGGGCACCTGATGTCCGTGAACCTACACTGGCACAGCTCAACTCTCCAGCAGGCAGTGATGCCGCTCTCCTGGGTACTCCTGTTTGGAACTTGCCGACTGTTCCGGGAAGGGGGGGACGTTGGGGTGTGGGCTCTGTAATTGGTTCGCCTGCTGTCACGGGATCGGTTGTCCGCGGACCAGGCGTCAAACTCACAGAAGTCGGTGACACCAACGTGACTGTTGACATTCTTGATGCATGCGGCTATGGATGTACTAACCAATTGGACAGGGATTCCCTCACGCTGTACCTGACACCATATGTTCTGAACTGGACAAATAAGGTCCACGATCCACTGGAGTACCCCATCGAGTGGCGATTGAAATCGGTGCCTTTTCCAACCTGCACTCTGAATCATCCGATCTGTTTGAACCACTTTGTCCCACATCAGATGGGTACGGAGGGTGCTCAAACTCCTTCAGGGTTCCGCTCCATGTTAATGCAAGGTGGTACTGATGTTGGGGAACCAGGCTCTGCTTCATGGTTGCCATTGCAGCAAAATAATCAGTGGAACAGCACAGCAGGAGGTGGTAGAGGACGGAATACTCTGGTGTCACCTCATATCAGCCTTGCAACTTCACCCGCATCTGCTCCCACAGTCCCATATGATAGAACATGGATTGGACCTGCTTCTACCCAGTCTGGGTCTCCTGTTTCCATCTCTTTGCTCCGCCCTATATCAGTGCCTGATTTCCCAGAAATGCCTGGTAGCCGGTGGACTTGCTGGTATCGTGCCTTGAAAGCGGGGACATACCACATTGGTATCCTTCTAAATGGAAGCTGGATTTATAACTATAGGGAGGGATTCAACGACGTCACAGTTCCCACGGAACAGGACCCGGCAGTGTTACATGTGGAGGATGAAACTCTGCAGGATAAACAGGTGGATGGTGAACCGAGGCCCCCCCCGAGGGGGTATGGTAACCTTACTGTCGAGGAGGGCGAGCTGATGTTCGTCAATGTGCCAGTTGACCAAACAAAAGGAAAGCATCTTGTTGTTGGGATCACCTCCTCTTTCCTTGTTGTTCCAACAGACAAGTACCAGAACCCCATAGACGGAGTGCTCTCTCCCGAGAAGGAACACTGGGTTCTTGATCAGATCCGAGCACGTGTCTCCATCACCCCAAGAGGTGGCATTGGGAATGCAGAGGTTGATGTGTTGAGGACAGAAGCAGGTGACTTCCGTGTCGTATTTGCACTGAGTGATCCTGGGGTTTATGAAGTGGCTGTGAGAGGGAGCTTGACGGTTGATCGATGGAATGTGGATGCTGCTCCTGTCCCATGGAGAAAAATGGTTACCTCCGCGGCCGGCGACGAAGCAATTCCGAAAAGGGTGCAGCGTGTTGAGCATGCCAGTGTGGCATATAGACGTGATGTGTACATTTTTGGCGGTGCCACATATGACCGAACCTACATGAATGACATCTGGGTGATGCGCAATGCTGCAGTCGGTCCGAGAGGGGAGGGAACTGTGGGCTCCTTCGGTTTCTTGAAGCCTATCACTGTAGTTGGCGGTGGAGTTCCCGATGGCAAGGATGGTGAAAACTTAGCAGGGGCCTCAGTAACCCTGCAAATCATCGTCAACACTGCGGAGCTTGTCAGGCTTGGCAGAATGACAGAGAGATGTGGCGACGTGATGTTCGTGGCACACTCCACAGGTGACAGGCTGCCTCATTACCTTGATCGATTTCCCGAATGCCCAAGCACATCGACAAGGTTCTGGGTTAACGTACCTCGCAGGTTGCTTGACAAGGAGGGGCCCACGACTGTGATGATGTACTATGGAAACGCATTTGTGAAAGGGGATCTGTCAGACCCCCATGGTGCATTCCTCTTTTTTGAGGGCTTCGAGGACATAGGGCCATATGCGGAGGGGATTCAACCCAGTGCGAATGATAGCTCGGAGTGGAAGTTCGGACCTTTTCAGGTTCAGCCGGAATGCGGTCGTACAGGTGAGTTTGTAAACCTCACAGCAGACAGGGATGCGTTTGAAGTGACGAACGACACCAAGTACATTGGTCGGCAGTGCCTGAGGGCGAAATGGGGGAGGAAGGGAACCTTGCAGAAGCAACTCCCTAAGACACTTGAGCAGTTTGTTGTCAGGGCTTGGTTCTACGATAGTGATTCTGAGAATGGGTCAAATTACTTGAGCTCGGAGATCGGATCGTGTGGTCTCCGTCAACCGAACAGAGTTTTTCTGGTCAACGGCAGGTTGGAGGAGCAACAAGAGTTGCTACGCATGCCCAGTGGCAGGCTTCATGGCACCATATCCCAGCAGCTGGAGAGTGCGGCAGCTCAACTTGGCATGAACCTAGTTCCCGTCGATTTTGGATGGGTGGAAGGCCATGATTTCTTGGATCCATCTCCGACCCTGGGAGATGTGCTGAGCATGGAGGATGTAGGGTTGCTTAATGGAACTCTTGTCCGTCTGAGAGCCTCTGAAGGGGAGTTGGTGAGGGAATATAACTGGGCAGGTGAGAAGATCCTCATCATGGAGACGCTGGAGGAATTCCCTATCTCCGTTGGCACCTTCGCGCCATCCCATGTTGCGAGGTACACCGTGGCACCTCCCTGGGTCGCCACTCGCCTTGGTCGCACCGCTGGCTGGCATCTCCTTGAGATCAAGGCTGGAGGTTCTCCATATGGAGCGTCCATCTGGATTGATGGTAGGAAAGTGATGCAGGTTCTCAATGCTACAGGAGTCAGGATGGATAGGATCCGGATCACTGCAGGATACGCCAATGAGGATGAGAGGTTGAAAGGATGGAAGCGCGAATTTGTGCCAAGCTATGCACTTTGGGATGACATAATCGTTGCTGAGGTGGACTTCCGGCTTGGGAGAAGAGGGGTTATTCACGCGCCAAGGTTTGGCGCAGGCAAGGATAGGGCTGCATCGTGGGTCCTCAATCGTACATGGGAAAGGCTGACGCTCAATGGGTCGAATGTCGTGCTTCCGCCTGCTCGGTATGCACATTCAGCTGTGCGCTATACCCAGTTCATGTATGTGTTTGGTGGCGAGAGGAGTTCGTACATCTACAATGATCTCTGGGCTTTCGATCTCAGGAGGCGGACATGGAATTTCCTCTCGAAATCAATGGAGGTGAGGCACCTCACTACTATCCCTTTGCTAGCGGGGTCAACCATCAAACAAAATATAAGGTCATATAAGTTGATATAACTGACTTTTGCAAAACAAACCATCTCATTTACAAATTAGAAGTTAATTATCAAACATTGATGGCTGTTTTGTTATATGAACCTCGACAACTTCAATTTCCAGTTTTCCCTACCATGGCATATAGATATTATAATATTATTATTAGAGTTCTACTTTTAGATGTGAGAAAAAAAAAAAAGATGATTTGAATTACAGGCAACCAATCGACAGGCAGCCAATGTGCTTCATGATATTTTCATAACTATTTGACTCGCTTGGGCTTTGGAAAGCATTTGTCACCGTCTCCTCGTGTGCTGCGCTTCCCCACCATCCACTTGTCTGCCTTTCTTCTTCTCCTTCTTCTCCCTCCTATTCTTCTTCTTCTTCTTCTTCTTCTTCTTCTTCTTCTTCTTCTTCTTCTTCTTCTTCTTCTTCTTCCCCTCAGCATCCCTTTCTCCCCTTTCCCTCCGTTTCCATGTTGGCCGCTTGCTCATGGGTTTCGTGGACGTGTTTGTCCTTCGTTCTTATCATTTGATAATTGACAGTACGTGTAGCTGGTCTGTTGGTCACCATGGAATGGCTGCAAATAGTTATGTGGGTTTTCGATGCTCTCATCTTCTGGCCTCGTGCATTGCGCGTCTTTGCTGAGGTCTCATATGGAACACTCCGTTATGTTATTCCAAAGTGCAAAAGTGAGGATAATCCCCGTACGCAAAGGGATGGATCTAGAGATTACTCGTACTAACTTCCAGCACTCCCTCACTCTTTAGTTCACCGTGTAACTGAGCCATGTTACCTTCGTACTAGTGCTCTCCCTACACAATAAGACACTAACAACACCACCCTCGCTTTTTGGGGGACGCGTGGATGAGCACTTGCATAAGTCAAACAAGGCACCACCAGACTGCAGGTTTGCTAGCTGGGCAAAGGCTATTGCGTGTTCATCAGGTCCTCGGAACCACTGGTAAAGATGGCATGGATCTTGCAGGCCTGCAGTCACAGTCAGCAGGGTCGGCCCCTCAAGCGAAATGGAGGAAAGCCCACTAGAGATGGTCTTTCAAGAAGACACAGCTAACTCACCAAACAATGCGGCCCTGGGACCTGGCAGAATAAAACATCCACGCGCACGAAAGTTCACGGATGTCTGAAGGGTGTGGACTTCAGTACCATATGCAGCAGCATTTTTTTTAAGTTTTTACAATAAAACTACACTACATTCTTCTCTCAAATTCTTTTTTTGCCTTACACTACCTACCAACCTACCACTACTGCTAAGTAGCGGGGACCCCTGCAAGCATAGCTACCTCACAATCTGAAGGGTTACTGCATGTTGTGATAGTCCGTTGGGTACCTCTTATCGGGTTTCAAAAGGGTCTTTGGCCAACACGGGTGTGAGTGCGAGTGTGAGTGAGTTGTGTGTGGTGTGTGGTGTGTGGGAGAGTCTTGGTCGTAGACACTACTGCTCTTCGATTGGGGGTGGGCGACGATGAAAAGGGAACCGCAGCTACTGGCAAAATGCTCGGTCTTTGCGTTAGCCGCACCCCCACTGGCGGCCCCACCCCATCTCTGACTACCACTGTTGAGCCAGCAGGCCAGGCAATCAGGTTCCCTTCTTTCTTTCTTTCTTTCTTTCTTTCTTTCTTTCTTTCTTTCTTCCCCAAAAAAACAGAAAAAATAGGGGCCTTAAGCTCCTGCCTCCATTTTCTTCTGGGGAGCAGCAGTGTGGTCCTTCTCCACAGCTATGTCAGCGTAATTAAGCAGAAACACCACCAAACTCTCCCTCTCGTTACGGCCAGAGGAACCTCTGTCACCATTAATTGCTTCTGTGCTCTTGAGATGAGCACGGACGAGAGTACACAGTGCTCTTGAGAGGAATCTCGAGCTTTACAAAGGGCTTGCTGGACCTAGCGCAGCCTAGGTTCGGGTCCCTTCCGATCCAAGTGGTCAAATTGGCTATGGGAGAACCTTGGACCCAGAAGGTATGCTCTAGAAAAATACAGCTAGCAGGAGTGGAGCAGTGCTACATCCTTCCTGGAAAAGAAAGTAAGCAATGCTGCTCCTGTCTCAGGGTCCCTTGGCCATAACAAAGGGAAGCGGTGAGTGTGTGTACTTGACGTGAGGCACTCTGGACCTGGTTTCCTACCGTCTTCACCCGAATAGAACGCCCAGTCATTATAGACGTATTTGGAGCAATTTTCAGTCCAGATACGGCTATAAAGACCGGGCATTCTATTCAGGTGAAGACGGTAGCCTTATCAATAAAAAGGAAAAGGAAAGTTAAAAAAGAAAGAAAGAAAAGGATATAAGACTAAGGAGCATACATTTTGTTAACCCTTTGGTGTTTGTTCATTTAAATCACCAGTACTTCTCCCAGCCATTTTTCTCCGATGCAGTTATTAATGCGCCGTGACTTCCCAGGCACAGCCTACCGAAGGTAAATTGCAGGCGCTTTTTTTTTTTTTTTTTTTTTTTTGGTGCACAGGGTGTTTCAGGGCTCGGCAAGGGGGGAAGGGTCAAAAGTGCTGGTGGCTTAAGGGTTTAGGTAATCCTCCCAACCCAACCCCTCTTCCCTTTTCCTCTCTTTAATCTCTTGTTTCCTGACTCCGGTGGTCCTTTTCCATTTGGTAGGGTCCATTACCAAGATATGACCACTCGGCAGCTATGTCCGTGGAAGGTCTTATGCTGGTCTTTGGTGGACGAGGTTTCCAAAGGGAACTCTACAATGACTTGTGGGAATATGACACTCAAATAAATGTTTGGACAAGACTGAATTACGGAGGGGCTACCCCAACACGAAGGTTCGGGCATTCAGCAGCAATTGTTGACAAAGGCCGTAATGGTGGGCAGTGCATGTACATATTTGGGGGCTATACAGAAGAAGACCAATTTTCAGATGAGCTGTTTGAGTACTCATTGACGACCAGGTTGATGAGGAAGATTCCCACGCCAGTCGAGTTGGAACCACGGTACTCCCACTGCTCTGTGGCCAAGGGACTCTTTTTGTACATCTTTGCGGGGGCGGCATCATCCCAGACCTTCGGCGATCTGTGGAGGTTTGACGCAGGTGAGTGGACAGCATGCTTTTCCAAAATGTTTCTTAAAGGACCAGTATGTTTCCCAGTGTTTGGCAGCGGAAAAAAATAGAGTAGAAACGTTTCTAGTCGGATGAATTTGGGTGAGAGAGAGTAAACACTCACACACACGACCAGACTCCGACGCAAAACTCAACTGGTGAGGACGCTCAGAGAAGAGTACCAGCAGCAACTCTATGTCGAACTCACACTCAATGTCTAAAAACTGAGTACAGCACAAGATGTCTCGCCGGTGTGTGAGACTGGTACATATACCTGGGGACAGCCTAACGGCTAGGCTGGGCTCAGGGGTATGTACCAAATCCGTCGGTACCAGAGGGGTACCGGTAAAAATGTCCAAGGGACAGAAATGTAAAATGTGCTGGTACCGAGGACATAGCAGAGAAAAGTAAATGTTCGGTACCAGGCATGAGGTCCAGGGATCGAGCCCTGGCCAGATCCATAACAGTGCTCCTATAGTGGCCGTTACGTTTCCTAAAATCATGGCTTGTTTACGGGCACAACTTTAGGGAATACTGGTGGTATAAAAAGGACCAGTATTTTTCCCAGTGTTCGGCAACAGATGCCACGACCTTTGGGCGGGGCCATATACACTCAGTAGGTGGTTGATGAAATTCATCAAAGGCAGCGGCCCCCACCCCCCGCAGTTGCGGCCGTGCACACACCAGGGGGAAAGAATTGCTTGGGAAACGTACGGGTGGTGGTTTCAGTGCATATGTGAACTATCTTAGTATTTACCCTTCTCTCTCTCCAATTCGTGGGTTTTGAGTGAGGTGGAAAAGGGGGAGAGCCCCTCAGGTTGCTTGTCAGAGTCACACAGTCACACACAACTTACAGAAATTTTTATTGTTGTTTCTGTCATTGTTTCTGTTGTGGTTCTTCTTCTTCTTCTTCTTCTTCTTCTTCTTCTTCCTTCTTCTTCTTCTTCTTCTTCTTCTTCTTCTTCTTCTTCTTCTTCTTCTTTGTTGTTGTTATTGGTGGTGGTGGTGGTGGTGTTGTCGTTGTTGCTGTTATTGTTTTTGTCATTGCTGTGGTAATTATCACTGATATTGCTGTTGTTGTAGTCGTTGTTGTTGTCATCGCTGCCATTGTTGTTGTCACCGTTGCCGTTGTTGTTTGTCAGTGTTGTTGTGGTTGTCACCGTTGTGGTGGTGGTCGTCGTTGTGGTGGTTGTCGCTGTTACCATTGTGGTGGTTGTCGCTGTTGCCGTTGTTGTGGTTTTTGTCATCGTTGCGGTTGTCGTGTCATTTTCGTTGGTTGTCATTGTGGTTGTTGTTGTTGTTGTTGTGGGTGTTGTTGTCTTTGTCATAGTTGTTGTTGGCATGGTTGCTGCTATCATATCCCTGTTGTCTGAAAAGATGGCTAGCTATGTTTGTTAGAAATTCTGAGACATGTTGAGATAGGAAGCCGAGCCAGGAAGCCACTGCGACAGACGCCTATTGCACCACAGACCTCAGAAACAGAGCAGCCCCCTAATAGTCCTGCAGGCACTCCAAACATCCCCCCACCGACTGTTTGGCACTTCCCAGAGGTGCTCGCTTAGAAACACAAAAAGTGAGAACAAGAAGAAAGGCGTATGTAAAACTGATTGTGTGTGTGTGTGTGTGTGTGTGTGTGTGTGTGTGTGTGTGTGTGTGTGTGTGTGTGTGTGTGTGTGTGTGTGTGTGTGTGCGCACGTGCATGCGTGCACATGCGATGTTGTGCATTCATAATGTGGCTGTGGCTTCAAGTGAAGAGCAGAGAAGATGGTGGTACCTGCAATATCAGGGCAGATGGCATAGCTGAAAATCGGGTACTGACCGTACTGTGGCACTTATCCCGACTGCAGTGGACAGTCCTGGAGCTGGAACGGCGTCCTGCCATTATCTAGGTGTCTCTGCATGAAACTATGATGCTTTGAGGGGGAAGGCGGGGGAAGGGGGTTGGGGGGGGGGACGAAGAAAAAAGACCGGGGGGGGAGAGCCCTCCTGTCGAAGAGGGCTCCAGTCTAATTCGTTGGGAGCAGCACCCCGTTATCATTGTTATGAGGATTTACTAGACTTTTTCTTTTTTCCATTTTTTGGGAAAATTGTTGAAATGCCCCTGAGAGTTTGCTTATGCATGGGTATGGCAAAATGCCCGTATGTCAGTTGTGAAACTTCACGAAATATCCCACTCGCCAATTGGCTCTGTCATCTTTTCCATATACCCCTACCGGGCCCGGGGCAACTTGTCTATATGCCCCAGTATTTTAGGCCGTTGGACCCTGCAGATTCCAAAAGAAATGCCCGGGTCCCTGCAGCCCATGGCCAGGGCATATGGAAAAGTTGCGAATGAGCAGGACAGGGGCAGATGCAGAAGTTTGGGGCATTTCAAAATACCCCTGTGTTTTAGGGGTATCTAACAAAATACCCAATTCAAAGTGTTAGGAGTATTTCAACAGTTTTCCCTTTCGATTTTTATATTCTTCTTCTTCTAAAGTCATTTTTTTTTCCTCTACATGTATAATTATTAATTATTTAACTGGGCTTTTTGATATTGCATGCAGGTAATGAACTCTGGACAGGGGCAGATGCCGAAGTTTGGGGCTCTTCGGCATACCCCTCTGTGTTCTAGTGGTATCTAACAAAATACCCAAAGTGTTAGGGGTATTTCAACAATTTTCCCTTTTGAATTTTATATTATTCCTGTAAAGTCGGCTTTGTTCTCTACATGTATAAAATACAGTATAATTACTAATTATTTAACTGGGCTTTTTGATATTGCATGCAGGTAATGAAATCTGGATTGGGAGCACTGTTGTGGACAAATCGCAGTGGAACTCCTCAGAAACGCTTCCGTATGCGGTCGAGCAGGGCCTTCCTGTTCTGGTAGATGAGAACATGGCCCTTTATGAGCACACATGTGGGGTGTTTCCCGGGGGAATGTATATTCAAGGAGGCCATGGCCATGGGAAATACCATTCCCAAATGTATATGTACCCAATATAGATGTATGTACATACACATGTATGCCTTGTTGTGACGTAGATCAACAATTTGTAGCATTACCGTTTTGTCAGTTTAGGGTGTGTGAGTCGGGGGAAGGGAGAAACGAGGAAAGCGGATGAAGTTTGAGAATGTTTGAGAATGTTTTCACCGGTGTGCTTTGAGATAATGTCGTCGAGTGATTTCCGTCTGTCTGCTGTGAGAGCAGACTCGCACTGGGACTTTCCGGGAGGAATCTTTCCGCAAGTACGGCCGCCAGTGAACGTATCTGACCACAGTTGCGTCATCAATCAGTCAAAATTTCACCCAGCTTGAGTATGCCATGACCCTGCTGTAATTTTCATGAGAAGTTGAAATTTTAACCGATGAGGTGTTTTCCTGTCACAATTTCTTAATTTTCTATTTACTAAATTACTACGGCGTTCTCCAACATTTTACCCTTTTTGTTCCCTGGCTTTCCTATCTTTCGAGCTTTAGATATATCACCCACGGCCCTCACAATTCAAATTTCGGAGCCCGGGTGCCGCCGATGAAATTTATCGGCCTGGCCCCGAAAATTCGGGAGCAGGTCACTTTTTTATGACTTAGCCTCCCAGCCTGAAAGGTAATGTTGGTTTAGCTCATTCGAAGTTAGAGGTAAGTACGTTCATGTCACCTTTGAGTATCGATGGGCAAAGAAAACACGCGTCGGCAAAGAAAACCGCGCCGAGTTGGAAAAGGCAACCAAAGTACCGACGGCCATGGTGTCAGACCGGGTGTCATATTTACAGGGGGCAGCCGTGGTGTCAGAGGGGAAAACAAAACAAAACAAAACAAAAAATGTTCAACGGATACGTTTGGACCGAAATTGCTCATTTCTAGTTGGTGCGTGGTTTCTTTGCCAGTGTAAGTCTTTTTTTGCCTTTAGGGTTTCAAAACACATGTTCACTTGCTTGCCGGTGATAAGCAACTGGACTGGTGGCCCCCAGAATAGAAGGGGCCGTGTGTGTGTGTGTGTGTTGAAAAAAAAAAGAGAACCCCTCCCATTTTCTCTTTCTGTTTTTTGTTTGTTTGTTTGTTTATGTGTTCTTTTGTAAACTTGTCAATCAATCAATCAATCAATTAGAGACACACACACACACACACACACACACACACACACACACACACACACACACACACACACACACACACACACACATATCCACACAGCGCACACGCACACACATACACGTGGTGAGTCCTTACCATCAGTCAAATGCATCCTGGGCAGACTGTAGGGGTTCAACCTCCTGATGAGTCGGTGAAAGTCCGACGAAACTATCTGGTACAGTCATGCTTTTTTTGAGTGTATAGCGAATATGACAACACACACACACACACACACACACACACACACACACACACACACACACACACACACAAGAACGCGCATACGTGCAATTCTTCGATCTTTCGATCAAATCTCTCTGATCGGTTAAGCCTATCGGTCGATCGGATCGACCGATAGGATTGATCAATCCTGCCAGTCAATCTGATCGCTCGATCCACCAACCAATCCATCAATCGCACACACGAACGCACGCACGGATTGATCAATCCTGCCAGTCAATCTGAGCGCTCGATCCACCAACCAATCCATCAATCGCACACACAAACACACGAACGCACGCACGCACGGCAAAGCCGGAATCTTTTTCTCTGATTTTTTGTTTTCGAATTGATTGGTTGATTGATTGATTGATGGATTGGTTGTGGGGGGGTCACCTCCCCCCCGCTTGCACACACACACACACACACACACA